GGATGCCGCACTCCTGGGGGGTGGGAGGGGACGGAGGGGAAGTGCTGGGCTGTGGGCAGCCAAGACCCCCCACCCCTCAAGGGCTGCCCATCCCTTACCAGAGCATGGGTGTCATTGCGCATGAGCGCCCGGTTGTAGTTGATCTCCCGCTGCAGGATGATGAGGAGGAAGAGCAAGCCCAGCAGGACGTAGCCCAGGTTGCTGAGGATGTTGTTAAAGGCGCTGCAAGGGGACAGTCCAGACCTGGGTGTCACAGCCCCTCCTCTCTCTCCCCTACTGGACCCTCACCATCCCCTGAACCCACCTGAGGTTCCCTAGCGGGTGGGCGCACAGGAAGTTGTAGTAGCAGATGTCCTGGTTGCCTGTGACGTTCACTACCTGCACAGGCAGGGTGAGAGCAGGAGATGGTGGGATGTGGGGACATGAGGGGACCCCCGGGGTGGAGGTACGTCCCTACCACAGCTGGGGACCACCAGTGGCAGGCTCACCGTCTGGTAGGTGATGACCAGCTGGATGACAGGGAGGGCGTAGAAGACAGCGATGGTGGCAATGTTCCTGGGAGAGGAGGGGGCAGGTCAGGGGGTCCCCACTGCCCACTCTTGGGTGGGGACGCTGCTCCACACCCCCTGTGAGCCCCCACTCACCAGAAGTAGATCTGGTACTTCTTCCGCAGCACCCGCTTGTCCTTGCGGGCCAGGTCGGCCACGCAGAGGTACTTCTGGAAGGAGAGGGAGGTGGGAGCTCGTCCCGCCAGGCAGGGAGCAGCCAAGGGGCGCGCGGGGGGGACCCACCTTGGTGCGGATGACGTTCTTGTCGTAGTCGATGTCGGCCAGCGTGTCATAGTCATCCTCCTCCACGGAGCTGAGCGAGTCCAGGCGGGGCCGGCCGGCCACGTTCTCCAGAGACCGCTCCCCTGCGCGACCCGGGGGTCACCACAGCCCCCGGCCCGGCCCCCGCGGCGCCCATCCCCCTAGCACCCCAATCACCCCCAATTAACCGCTTGGCCACCTCCTCATTAACTCATGTCAGGGACGTTGCCCCACGGCCTTGAGCCCTCGGGTGCTGCTGGCCTGTGGGCAGCGGGGGGGAGCTCAGTGTCCCAGGGGCAAGTGTGGGGCAGATTTTGGATTGATTGGCCCCATCCCGGTACCGACATCTACCCATGGGAATGCTCAGCGGCCTCATCGGGGCGGAGGGCGTGCGCCGCTTGAACTGCTCCTGCCCTTCAAGGGAAAGCCAGAGTTATCGAGCAGGAGAGGGGCTGAGCCCGGGGGGTCCCCGGCAGGTGTCCATCGATGGAGACCCTGCTGCATGGAGGGGCTGGCAGCTGGGGGTCCCGGGGGATGGTGGGGGGCAGAGCCAGGATGCTGCCAGCAGCGCAGCACTGTTGGGGCAGCCCAGCAGTGCCCAGGAATGCTGCGCCGGTCACTGCTGCCCCAGCACTCACCCATGTAGCTGTAGGAGACATCTGTGGAGCCCAGGCTGTCCGTGACACCCTCAGCACTGCTGGAGGAGCCGTTCCCTGCAAGGACAAGGATGGACAGATGGTGGGGGCAGTCAGGGTGGGCAAAGCCAGGGTGAGAGAGGTGAGGGGCAGCACGCAGCACTCACCAAAGGAGCCATAACCATAGCTGTCGTAGGGAGAGTGGCCCAGGAAGGAGTCAGGGATGCTGCGGGCGTGCCCTGCAAAACAGGAGGGTCGCTGTCAGGTGGCAGCAGCCCCCCTGGCACCCTTGGCACCGTTCAGCACTGAGCGGCCAAGGAGAGAGCTGACACTGGCACCTACCCAGTAGAGATGCTGGAGTCCCCGGGAAGCGTGAAAAGAAAGAGACAGACTTGGTGAGAAGCCCAAGCCCCAGCACAGCCTGGCCCAGCCCCAGGGTATCCCCGTGTCCCAGACATGAGGGTTTGTCCCCAGGGAGGAGGGAGACATGCGGGGCTCAGGGGGACAGTGGGGAACTCCTGCAGGACCAGGGGCTTTTCTAAAAGCTGGAGAGGGCAAAATAATGGGGAACCACCCTAGAAAGAACCTCCCACGTGCCACTGCCGCTGGCTGCTGCCTTCAGCCCCTCACCCGTGTCCAGGCTGGGCGAGTCCATGGCTGCCAGGAGTCCCTTCCTCTTCTGCTGCCTGCGGAGGGAAGTGGCATCAGCAGTGCCGTGCCGGCAGCCTGCAGGGCTGAGGGGCAGGGATGGGGCAGGGACAGGGGCAGGGACAGGGTGTCAGGGCAGCGATGCCCCGGCGCTCACCGGCAGCTCTCCCAGCAGGCGATCAGCACCGTCAGGACGTAGAAGGAGAGGAAGATGCCCAGGCAGAACAGCACACTGCTCACATAGGCCTCCGCTGTGCAGAGCCAGAAGGAGCCCTCAGGGTGAGTGGCAGCCCTGGGGACCCATCATGGGGTCCCCCCCCAGGCCCCCCCGGCTTACAGGTTATGGCAGGGGACACCATCACCTCCAGCATCTTCTGCCGGTTGTGCTGATCCACAGGTTCATCTGGAAGAAGGCACAGAGGGGACCGTGCTGGCCTTCCCCAACCCTCTGCCTGCGTGGGGGGCTCAGGGCCATTCCCCTCCATCCTCCTGGCGTACCTGGGGAGGCATCTTTGGAGAGGGGGTAGTAGGGCAGAGACCCCCCACACGCCTCGTCCTCTGTCTTCACCACCACCACCACATAGAAGCTGTTGCTGGGGAAATCCTTCTTCTGTGGCAGAGAGGTGGGGGTCAGCAGAGCCCAGTCGGGGTCTACTGTGCAGCAGCTCCCTGGGGGGCTTGGGGCTGCCCCAGAGCAACAATGTGTGTGAGGGAGGGGCTGGGAGTGGCATGACCACGTGCCCACCTGCACGGTGATGGCTGCCTTCTTCGTCATGGTCTGGTACATCCCGATGAAGGCCACGTTGTTGTCCAGGTCATAGACGGGGCACTGTGGGGGTGGAGGGGCCATCAGCCCTGCTGGGTGTCACTGCTCGCCTGGATGGGAGCCCCCACCACCCAAACCTACCAGGATGTCTTGGATGGAGATGACAGAGCAAGGGAAGGCCATGGCTGAGGTCACCTTCACGATCACCGAGTCCACTCCCTCGGGGAACTCATACTTGAAATACTGGGGGGGAGAACGGGCCTGTCAGTCTCGGGGTGGCCACGCTCTCCTCCCGAGGCTGCCCCCGGCCTCCCCCG